ATCTTTATTATGGTTCCATCTTTTGTTTATTTTCCCCTTAAAAGCCTCCTTCAACTTACCAAGCAGACAGACAGGTTAATCACAAGCAGATAAATTTAAATACAACAAACAGAAAAACCCCAACACATCTCTCTGACATTCTGCATAACAACACACATAATTTGTAAACCTCCATTCCAGGAACCTCAGTGGTATCTGCTGTGCAATGTAAACACAAGTCACAACTTCCTGTAAAACTCCTGGATGATTTTCATAAACTTTATAAAGGCAAAGCCGACAACCAAAACACTGAAGGCACATGACCTGCCATTTCTATGTGTCCATGCAAACTCCCTGATGAAGAATCTCAGGAAAGAGCTGAAAAAGTCTCTCCACAAAATGTTAGCTTAACACTAATTTAGGTTTTGGCTTTTCCTTTTCAAGAGCCCGAGACAGAGATGCTGAGGATTTCAGAAGGAATCTGGCTGCAGAGAAATGGTCTGAGATGATCAGATTGCACTGGTTACCAAACGCACCCTTGATGAAGAGCAACTGGTCTGATCCTCTGGGCTGGGAGCGGCGATACAGAGGTGAACGACAACATCACGCTCGCTACCTCCCACCTACTGCCACATGCTGGGGCTATTGGCAAGTCAGCAACCAAGGTCAAGAGTCTCTGACAGCACATTCTGTAACCTATCTTTATCTGAAATATCTTTTAAAAATATAAGAGAAAAAATAATAAAACGGTGATCAAAATATTAAAATGCTCTTGATGCTTGAGCGTGGCAATAGTTCCTACATGTTACCAGTCCTCCAAACTTCATAGAAAGGCCGAAACAACGGGGCCCTTCAGTAACCGGGAAACCGCAGGTGGCGATGCAGAATCCTCCCCGGGGAAAGCGGGAGGCCGGGCGTCAGCGGCAGGCTCCCCTTCCCCGCCGCACCGCGTGCGGCTGGCACGCCACGGTGCAAACTCCGGCACAGCCCCGGCGCCTGCTCTCGGCGGGGTACCACAAACGCCCCGTTTCAGACGCGCGCCGCAGCACGCTTGCGGGCCACAGACCCCAGCACCGACGCCCACCCGCCGCTGCGCCGCGAAGCCCGGGCCGCCGGGCCCGGCTGCCAGGCGCAGCTGCCGCCCGCGGCCGGCAGGGCCACGGCGAAGCGTCCCCGTGAGCCCAGCGCCCCGCCCCGAGGAGCCGCGACCCCCGCCGCTACAGCCTCCCCCGCAGCCGGCGGCGCGGCGGGCCGGGCGCGGGGCGCTGAGGGCCCCCAAACACTCGCCCTCGCGGCGGCCCGGTGGCCTCAGCCGCGACCGCCCGGAGCGAAGCGGCGGCGCCGCCTCGGCGAGCGAGCGAGCGAGCGCCCGCCGCCCCCCCGGGGCTCTGCCCGCCCCGCACTCACCGGCCATGGCGGCCGCGGCCGTGCCCAGCCCGCCGGCGGGCTCTGGGCCTTCCTGCCGACGGTGGGGGCGGGCCGGGGCGGGCCGGGGCGGGCCCGGAGCGGCCGGAGGCGGGGCGGGGCGGGGAAGCGCCGGGCCCGGAGTCGGGCCCGTGTCCCATCGCCCTGCCCGCCCCCAGGGGTAACACGCGCCCGTCTGTAATGGCGGCGGCGGCCGAGCTGCAGTGCGCCCAGCGCGCGGCGCGGTGTGCAAGCGGGAGTTTCTGCTTGCACCACTGTCAGGTGTGAAACGATTCATTGCACGGTTGGTAATGACGCGATTTTCCACAAGTAATTTAACTGTTCAAAGTACCATGTCTACATTTTCATAACATCCATATGCAATTTATATTTTTTTTCCTTTCCTTGTGCCGCAGCACTGTACACGTTTAAGTGCAGCTACGCTGTGTAAATCAAATTTGACAGATAGGTGGGACAACTCTCAGAGAAAAGCTTGCAGTGAAGCATCGAATTAATTGGGATCTATTAACTTCGTGAGGGAAGAAGTACATGGAAATCTGTGCATTTTAAAAACCCCTGTTTGCACAAAATTTCATCAGCGTTTTATTAGCCAGCAAGTTCTGGAGGACAATATGCCTTCCTAGGTATAAATGCTGCAAAGGAGCAAAGCCGGACCTTAGCTTTGCAAATTGTAATAAAGAAAGGGATACGTTATTTATTACTGCAGATTTTTTTTTTTTTTTTTTACTGCAAAATCTGATATTTTTGTAATGTATTGGAAAAGATGGATTTCTAGTATGGTAAAGACACAAGGTGATTTGTAATTATGACTTGTGTTGAAACCGTGAAGAAAATGTTTATGTTGAACGGGGACAAAAATCTTCCAGAGGGATTAAAAACACAGTAGGCAAAGCTGTCTCCAGACTGGCACATAAAATGCTTCAAGCACTCAACTGCCCTTGCACAGACACCTCTCATTAAAAAAGTTTGCTTCTCTTAAGTATCACGTCCCTGAGCACCAAGACACACCCTTACCCAGGAAACAGAAACATGACGTGGGTGACCACAAGATCCTGAAAGATTTGCCCTGTTTTGCCTCTGTGCCACCTTGGCCCAAGCATGGGGAAAAGCTATACCAATATACCAGGACTGGATAGCCGGCGAGATAATAAAGCGTACGGCCCCATGCTTTTGAGGGCTGTGGCATGCTGAGAACTTGCAGCGCTGACGATGGAAGTTGGCATGTTCCAACTGACAGGCTGGGACTGCAGAAGCCGACAGGGCAGGCACGAGTTGCCAAGTGGGGGTAGGAAAGGATTTAATGAGGACTTGACTCCGCACTTGGATACATGCTGTACACCCTCTTGTGAGAGACAGCTCCAGCTAGCCTGGGAGCTGAAAGAAATGACAAGTTTGCTGGACGTTTGTGAGTGCTGCCGCTCCGTGGCCCCAGGGGGGAAGTGTCATGCCCAGCACAACCCCAGAGATGGGGCTCGGGGTCACATCGGGGCGCTCCTGGCATGTCCTGGGGCAGCAATTTGCCTGGCAGGGTTAGCCACACAGTCCAGAAGCTTTCTTCCAGGTAATTCCTTTTTCTTATGTGCTCGCCTTTTTTGGCAGTGCCTTCCTTGCCAGGATGCAGTTTCTAGACTGGCACAACTCTCCAAAGAGAGCGGTGTCCTACCCCAGCACCGCACTGCACACCCCTGCGCTTTCTGTGCCACGCTCCGAGGAGCTCACCCCGGAGACCTTCCTGGTGAGCACAGGTAGAGCTGCTCTGATCCACGCCATTATACGCACCTCTGTTAACAAACGAGATACCTGCATTCCCATGTTTAGACTTGAAAATGTTGGCCTATACCACCCTGCTACAAATTAAAGCAGCTTCTTTATCTCTAGTAACTGTAACAACATGGGAAAAAAACCCTCCTTGAAATATTTTTAGTATTGTCAAATGCTGTGATGTTTATGGTGTGTGTCCTAGGGAAGATGAATAGAGTAGAAATATCCTGAGTTTATTCCATTTACCCTCAGGAATCCAGATCTTCTGAACAGCATGAAAATTTTAAAATTGTTGTTATCGCACATGGAGACCCTGATCATGCCTGTATCAGAGTGATTTTTGGCAATGTATTGTGGTAACAGAAACAGGCAGCTTGTGGAAAGGAAACTGTAATTTTATGAGTCCTTTCATCATATACTTTTAAGACTATTTCATATGTATATTAAAATATTACAGCACAAGGTGTTGCCTAGAACTAAGAAGCAGTGGTAGCATGGCATGCTGAGGATTTGTTTTTACGACCATTTTATACCGTTGTTAACTCACTGCATTTTGTGCTCTGCTAATAAGTTTCCCTGGAATCTCTACTAGAATCTAAACCACAAAACTGAAAACACAGTGGTCTTAATGTGACATAGACTGAAACTTCTTATATAAATCTTAAAATGGTTTTCAGCAGGCAGTGTTTCTGAGCACTGTGACTGAAATGGAAGCGAAAGTCAGCCATTCAGGAGTGCTGTGGTGTACAGCGCCAAATCGCCTGGAGATATTTTTGTCCTATAGGCTCGGAAAATGATACAAGACTCAAGGGTTAAATATATCTCCTCCTCACGCCCGTGGCACGCCAGCCTTCTGCCGCCGTGCCGCTGTCGGGGTTGCGGGCCTGGGAGCGCCGCGCGGCCGTGGCAGAGCCAGCGCCGAGGGACACCCTGCCGCGCGCGTGGGGCCTGTCCCTGGGGGGCCCCCAGCGCCCACCCACAGCGTGGTCCGTGCCTTTCGGCGGGCCCGGCCAGGGGGGACGCCCGGTGCTGCTGACAGCCACGGTGCTACAACCCCCTCCGGCGCTCTGAGCAAAGCAGCGCCGGGCTTCGAGCGGCCCCCAGCGCAGGCGGCGCGGGGCAGAGCCCTCGCCCTCGCCCTCGCCCTCGCCCTCGCCCTCGCCCTCGCCTCCCGCTGCCGGCCCGCGTGCCGCAGCAACAGAGCCCAGCTTGCTTCCGAAACTCTGTGATGCACTGCAGATTTCGGTCTCCTAATTTAGTAGCTAAGCTAAGTGGCCTGCCTCACGATACTGCATTTCCCAGAGACTAAAGGACAACAGATGTATTTCCTGGTTAGCTCATTTCAAAAGCCGTTGCCATTTCCTCCCTGCTGAACCGACTGGTTTGTTTATTTGAGTGAATTATTTGATTTACTAAATATTATCCTCATCCTGGCAGCATCATCATGTAGTGTCTTCTTGTTTTATCTGTTAACCGTTAAATCACAATATGGTTTCTTATTTTCCCACAGCTGAAAAGGACTGGATCTCTTTAGGAACAAATTAAATCCAGATAGAGCAGGGAGCTCCTTTAACAAAGTCTTTCTTTGTGTTTAAGAAAACAGAATTAAATATTTCTTAAAAGCTCAGATTGCACACTAGGCTCCCTTTAGCAAGTTTTAGCTAATCATTTATAAAAACAGACCCTAAGAAGTTAAAAAAAATGGGAAGGCAGCAACCAGCTGGCCCCTCGGATCAGAGCCGCTGCCCCTCCCAGCTCTGCGCTTTCGTTCCTGCATATTCGGACTTTTCAGACCGGTCCTTTTGTCCAAGTTCTCGTTACAAATATGCACTTACATGTCTTGTAGAGCATCATCCATAGGTTTCACGGCTCTGCACTGTGCCCAGTACCCGTACAGCAGCGGGGCAGCCGGAGTGCCGTCCTCCTTGCCTGCCTGAGCAGAGGTCACTGGCAAGCTGGAGAAGCAAAAGTGCCCAGGGAGGGAGCGGGTCCGGCTGTGCGCAGCCAGCAGAGGCTTCCCGGGAGGGTGCAGGTCATGCTGCCGGGAGCACAGCCCCGGCACTGTGCATGCGGGGCTGCTCCGTCGGCCCTGCCAGCCAGCTGCAGTTTGCTGTTCATTTTAAGGGACGTGTAATGAGCTCTAAAACCCGAGATGTTTGTTTACTCAAAGTTATGGGATTTTATTTATTTTATTTTTTTGTGTGTGTGTGCTAGGATTGCTTTGCATATAGAATGGGTAATTTTCCAGTCTTATTTATATAGTCATACTATTATTATTGGTATAATCACCTTTTATTTCTTCACTGGTTGGAAGGAGATGTAGAAAAACAATACTTTGACTCCAAACACAAGGGCAGAAGCTGTGCCGCAAGTTCTTAGGTCTTTATTCCCAACCAGTTAAGCTGAACTATTAGATGTGAACAGAATGGACTTGGGTGAAAGCATAGGCTGGAGCATTCACTGGGCTGTAAATCCCTGGTCAGTTTTAACTTCTTGTATTCATTTCATGAGTGAGTTACATGCACCTTGATTCTACTGTATGACACCATATCCTTGGAAATTTTGACGGTGTTAGTAAAACAAGAAGATGATGCAGATAATGGGAAAATCAAGTACTTATTTTTCCTGGCACAATGGAAAAACCAGCATGTAGAATAAGACCTTGTATTCTGATAATAAATCAACTTGATAAATATTACAGAAGTTACTGTGTTGGCTGTTAGGTTGTACATGGGATAATGAACAGCCAGTTTCACATACATGTTCAAAGCCACACTTAGCTCAATATCTGATCCCTTATAAAGTTCAAATCGAATTATATACCAGAAAAAATACTCAACTAATGTTATTTTCTTTTTTTCTAAGAAACCGAAAACATTAAAATACTTTGAAGGCAGGAAGCACATAAAGCCATTTGAGCATCCTCCCCTTAAAACAGGTGTATAAACAAACAACTGACAGATTTGGCAAACTGACATTCAGCAGAGCTCCAGGAAGACAACAAAGCCACTTTGTCTCACTTTGCCCTCACATGGAAGTTATCACCCTGCCAGCTGAGTGCCTCACCTGGCCATCGCAGGCCAGGAAAGACAGAAAGGATGGGGTGCAGGCATTTTATGAATTAAAGGCCAGCATCTGGGAATGGATTAGAAGCCACTGCAGACTCCAGCTCATAGATGCAACATACCTCCTATGGGAAACACTAGTGTGAGGATTTCCACATAACCTTGACCTTGAAACACATGAGCAGTCTGAACACACACATGCTTAAGTACAGCGTCAGGGATCCAGGGAACAAGCTGCTTCTGCCCTGCTTTACACCAGATAAACTTTCACTGCCTCACTTGGTGCTGTGCCAGAGGAGTTTCAGGTTTCCATCATTGCATTAGCGTTAGCTACCAGGAATGGAGACTGGCTTTTGAAACATCTTGATGTGGAGGGAGCTGGGGCCTACCCAGTTCTCCCACCAGCTGGTATGTTCTGGGCGCAGTGACAGTAGAAATGGCTACTGGTTGTGGAATAATTGTAGAAGAGCCTTTCAACAGTGGGTCCGTCAATTATATCTCTCTTCATAACAGTCCTTATAAAATAAGTCGAAAAGATCATCTGCTCCTCTTACTGAAGGAAGAAGAAAACGAGGTTCCTTGAATCACTTTTAGGGGGACAGGATTTGATCAGATTTTACATAGTCATGTGTTATGAAGTGTAACTCAAAATACCAACCTAAAGCTGAAAGGTACTGCTCTAGCACATAGCAAGAGTTTATTAAAATGTCATAGAGGAGCCTTGCTTTACCCCTGTTGGGGGATGTTATCTGGATCTTGCCTGTGGTCTGACTTGTTGAGCTGTATCGTCGGGGGAAACGAACACAAGATGAGGTGGAACAAGTCCCAAGGATATTTTAAACATACACCACTAGCTTTTCTGGACTTTTGCTTATCTATGAGTTACCCTACCCTATTCCCAAATAAAAAATCAACAGTTACAAAATGTGCTGAAGATGAAACAGTCCTATAGATGCAGTCAAGTATAGGCACCTTTCTGAAGCAAGCCAGAGGAGCATGCAAGCCCCAGCTCTGGCTGGAGGTCCTCCACCTGCAAGGTGTTCATTGTGACGTTGCTTTCTATTCTTTCCTTGGGTGAAGAGGAAAGAGCCCTTTTTTCTGGGCACAAGAACTACTGCACTACAGTACTTAAATACAGTGTACATTCTGCAGATAACTTGTAAACCACATCAGATGTCATTAGGTAGCATTTAGGTGGATCTTCCCTGAAACTTCCAAAGAACAGTTAAGAAATCCCTAAAGAAAATAAATTATGTATCACAGTTTAACAGCTTCTTGCTGAGCTATCAACATTATGAAAGGCTGTACCTGTAGGTCATCTCAAAACCGGGCATGTTTTGCAAATCTTCTTGGTCCTTCCAAACAGAAGATTCAATTACATCTACCATTTAATTAAATTTATTAAAAAAGTTGTGCTGTGTGACATTGTCAAGAAAAAAAAAAAAAGTTTCAAAGGCTATTTAAATCTGACAACAAGTTATAGCAGCTTCATTTAGTTACTCTGTTTCCAAATCATCACTGATGACTGGGATACAAAATTGTTAGAGACCTCCGCCTCCTCTCCACCCCAAACAATCAGTCATTTACATCCAGTTCTTACAGCTGCTGTCTGGTGTACCCAGAGGGCTCCTGCTTGCCCATGCCATGACATTTCAGACCAGCTCCTCCTGCAGGTTGTCACATTCCAACACTTGCAGTCCTGCCTCTTTTCTGGGTCATAGGCTTCACATGGAAACCTTGAATTACGCTAGCATGTAACCAAAAGTTAGACTGACAGCAGCAGAGCACGCTGAGGTAACTAGCATCTTTGGAGACTTCCAGGATAAAACCCAAGGGGAAGGTGTCCAGGAGAAAGCCTGCATGGCCAAAAATCCATGTGGAAGGCTCCAGGAAAGCAATGTTAACTCTAGGGCAGATACTCTGGTGTCCATCTCAAACTTCATTGTTCCGTTCAGATCAAAATGTAGTACTTCTCTTTCTTTCAATCACAGAAGATGTGTCAAGGTCAAACATACATTTGACAGCTTCAAATATTCCTGAATCATGAGTCAGGCCTCCCCAAATCATGTCGTTACCATGAAAGAAACTTAAGAGACTTTTGTGTATTTTCTGTTGTTTGACACTTCAGGACTGAAACTTCTCCCTTCAAATATAAGTGTGAGACACATTTATTTTTAAATAGAAGCTGTGATTTTCACATATTCATTCAACCCTACCATTTGTGGCTTAAGAAAGTAAGAAATATCATGAGACTTGTGACAAAAATCACAGGATCAGGCAGCACTATACTCTGTGATATCCTACAAATATAAGTGGGTGTTCCTCACAGGAGATACTTCTGTAAGGACTCACTGCTGCAGGTATGGGGTTCAGTGCATTCCCGGGCAGAGCACCCGGCACTTCCCAGGCTCAGGGACTCCAGGTTTCCAGCATGGCAAATGCATTCTTTCCTTTGTTTCAAAGAATGAATTTTCATTTAAAAGGAAGTAAAAAACAGATGCCCTGCTATAGCAAATAGTATGTCAGATGCCTTAAAAAACATTCCCAGTTTAGTATTTAATATAAGATCTTGGTTTTCTGCAAGCAGTCAAAACTTAACAACAGACCAGTGCAACAGCCTCAGCAGAGTTGCCTGCTCTAGGAAAACAGCTTTAAAATACAGGGTGAGGGAATGCAAACAAGCAATTGCTCTCATAAATATTGTTACCAGTTTTTAAAACTGTGAAGAATTATCCTGTCATATTGTAATATACATCAACTAAATGATAAGCATCCATGCATGGAGGGGGCTGTTTAGTGCTTGTTTATGTAGTCTGTAGCATTTTAACTTGTTCTTTAAGTGCAAGACATCAGTTCCATAAAATACACAAGGAAATGCAAGCTTTCTGTAGCAGAAATGGGAGCCTGAATCCATTTGAAACCACTGGCTGGCAAATATTTAAGGGTTAACTTAATAAATACAAGTTTTAAAATGTCTATTTTGGATTCTCAGCTGCTTTCATCTTCTTCCTGCACAGCACTTATTTTCCTTCTGACAATAAATAATGTTTACATGAGCAATAAAGCTAACTCCAGGGGGTGCAGTCATCATAAACTAAGCACAGTCCCAGAGGAAACCAAGCCACAAATCTTATAAAAACAGTATGGGTATTGTTTCCTTATCTTGTTGCAACTTTGCTGCCTCTTGTATTAGACACCTAAATAAATGATAGTAATCCAGTGCTCTGGCACAGAGACAGTAAATTTACCCACCTTCTTTGTTGCTTCCCATGGCTACTGATGTCCTTGTCATCTCAAGGTTTTATTTTCCCCCATCAAACATTACACAGACTGGCCTTGCCTGTAGAACAGGGTAACTGGGCTCCCTTTGCCTTCTGGTGACTCGGACATCCCAAAAAGTGAATTTATTTCACTCAGTGACTTGCAATCATATTATCACATCTTAAAAACGCCAGGGAGCTAAATCATGAAATCTAATTAACATAATCGCAGAGATGTGGAAATGAAAGAAAATTCAAAAGAGCTGCAGAGAGTCAAGATCAAGCATAACTAGGCCACCCTTCACATGTGTACCTTATCTGCTTTTAAAAAATCAGGCATGATATTATTAGTAGAACAGAACAGTTCCCTCCCATCCTACCCTGAGACATGCCTTCTTTGTAAATTGATCATTTAATCATCTGTCCTACACTCTTTCTGGGTATTAGAGATGCACCTTCATTCTGGTACTTCTTGACGTTCTCTGCTCTCACCTTATTAAAGTTAGATTTGCCCTTTCCCATCTTGTGAGACCTCCCTCATCCCTTCACAGTTTCCTGAAGCTGTATCAATGATGGTTCATGTATTGGTCAGCTAATTCCTTAGTGCTTTAGGATGAATTATATCATGGAACCAAATTTATCTTAATATTTGAGATCTATTTCTTGCTTTATTCTTGTCTGCAAACCTAGTCCCGTGTGAAAATTCATTACATTAGCCAGTGAACTTTTCAGTGATGCCTGATCTAAAGTAGACATTAGGGGGTTGTCATCTCTGGGTCCACTTTTGCTTTTCCCTAGAAATACCTTACCTGACATTCTACTCTGTTTCTTCTACCGTATTTTTTCTCTTCTTTCACTTCCCTTGCTTGCTGTAACTCACATTACCTCTTACTTTTCTGAACAGCTCTACTCACTGTTTTTTGTGCTGCTCCTCAGTCATCTGTCACATTTCCAGTTTTTGAGTTTTTCCACTCTGATTTTCATGTCCTCAGAGTTCCCGAGGCAGCTGTATCAGATTTTTGCTGTCTTCTGCACTGGGTTTGTCTGGCATGCCTTTAAAAAGTCTCCGCTAGTGACTGCCAGCTCTCCTGCACATCATCTATCAGATTGTTTCTGCATAGATCCTTTGTTACTTGTTATTTCAGTATGTCAAAGTTTACCTTTTTGAAGTCAATATTCCTTATTCTGATGGTCTTCCTCCTTTTCTTAAAAACGTGATGTCATTTATTTTCACATTCACTCAAGTGTCACTTGATTTTTAACAAGTTTTTCCCTGCTATAGTTAGAAGGAACTGCCACCCCACCTTCAGAAATAAAGCAATAACCAAGACGTATGTTCGAACTCCTGATGGTTGTACACTTTACCAGCAGAGAATTAGACAAATAAAGTCACCTAAGATCAAAGACAGTTCTGTTATTTCTCCAAGTAAACTTCTGCCAGCTCCTTCTCCTAACTGCAGAGTCAGTGCTGAATGACCAGCAGCCCATGTGCCACCTTCACCCATTGCTCTCCAGCCACAGGCATTATGTAATGAGTGTTTCACCTCATTCTGAACTTCAGAGAATGTATAGACCTTTCTTCTCATGTGCCCTACCTGGAACAAGCTATCATTTACCATGCTGAGATCCTAGTCCTATCATTTGTCCCACAAGCATTAGTAATTCTTTTGAGGTTGTACCTTTTATTAAGTGGAAAGTCTTTAACTTCTTTGTGTTTAATTCTAATGTATCAGCCACATGTATAGGAGGAGCGCTTCAAATGTTTGGCTGTTTTTTCCAGCCTTTGTTCCTCTCTGTGCTTCTTTCACACATTTTGTTTTTATATTCATCCACCTGCGGACTTTCACCACTGATGCTATTCAAGCCTCCGCTCTCAAATGGGACCTGGAAGTACTTTCCTCTGGCAGATGGAGCCCAGCCACTCCTAGATGTCCTGCCAGAGAGCCCCACACCAGCAGTGAGGCAGAGCTGCCGCTGTGACAGCTGTGTGCATAGCTTTGTGCTGAGATTTCACATCCTAGCATCTCATTTTCCACTTGAAAGCCCCCTGCTAGGGCCTCCAGCTGGCCTCTCTTAGGGACTGCCTCACACATAGAGTTTCTAACGCATCTTCTCAAAATCTTTCTGACCTCTTGTCATCCTCCCAACCATTGACAGTGCTCCTGCAAGCTGCCTGGCACAGCTGCAGCCAGATTGGTGGTGCCTGCAGCCGACAGGACAGGCAGCAGAGCCGGCCCCAGCCATGCACACGGCCAGAAGCAAAGGCTGCACGTGGGATGCAAGAGCGCACCTGGATACAGGAGCTGGCTGGGTCTGGCAGGGTACTGAAAAATTGCAGGCAAAATGGTTCAGAGCACGAATATGTCCTGATAAACACTGGCTAGTATTAATTTAATGAACGGAGAACTTAATTGGAATGAGTGTTGAGAGATATATCCATTCTCCTTCTTGCAGCACATATTAAGAAGTGCATTGCAGGGGTGCAGCCTGCTGTATGTATAGAAGAACGGAGCTTATTGGAAACAGAAAAAAAGCTCCTTTGCTGCAACTTCCACATAGCTGAAGTTCAAGCATGTGGTTTTGATCTATGCTGAGTATGACCAGGACAGAACAGGGCATTTCTAGGCCTGCCGGCAAGCTACAATAATTTGAATTTCAAAACTGAAACTTCAGAACTGAAGGCCTTAAGAGAATACCTGATTCATAACAAGCGAGATATACAATAAAACGATTACTGGAGCTTGCTACAAGATCATATTTCCATCATGACAGAAATGTGACGATACCCATTAGACAGCTGATGACAGGAGAATAAGGCTTAAACTTGAACAAAAATAACCATACTGTGACTATAAGATATACTTCTGTGTGCATATAAACAGCAGATTAAGAGACATATTGGTTACTCAACTATTTAAAATGGACAAAACAATAAAAAAATATACCTTGTTTCCTCGCACCGTGAACAGATTAATAATAGGAAAAGAAGGCACGTTTCCAAAAAACTGCATCACCCCTTTGTTTAGCATGCTCTCACAGGGATGCTGCCACAATCACCTGAGACACATTGCTCCAGGAGGGCTGCACCGCCTTCCCCACCCATGAACCTGCACACCAGCTGCTCTCTCGCACTGGGACCCGTACACCAGCGACAGGTGCTGAGTGGTTTGCTCCCTCACAGGGCAGTGTGCCGTGGGAAGGCAGCACATCCCTCCATCCGCTCTCCCCTCTTCAACAGGCTGATGGGTCTGAGAATGTGCCTCCAGTGCACCCAGTCTCACACGGTCTCTAAACGCAGAGCAGATGAATTAAACAAGAAGGCCTTCCTGATACAAAACAACAGGGGCTTTTAATTACAATTTTATTGCGGTTCTATCATACTATTGTGTAAAAATATGGGGGATTTGTCATTCTGAAATGCTTACAAAAACCACTTGTTAAAAGAAGGTTGCAATCTTATGAATATGTAATTATCATCAGTGACTTTGTATAGGGCAAATATACAAACTGCCTACCATTTCTCTCTAGATGCACAGAAGAATGATATTATGCTTTTGTCATGGTCACAATACATAGCACACCATAGAGAATGGCTAAGGACTACCAGCCTCGATATTATTTTTTTTTTATTTGTATCAGACCTTGAAGCATTTCTGTTAAATAACCATCTTGTAATATAGAAAACTTTCAAATTCATATGAATAATTAACTTTCGATTCTGTCTTTAAGGCACATATTTCTATCCAAATTTCATTTTGGTCCAGAAAAGCAATTGCATTTCAGACACCAGCTATCCAGGTATCTGATAGCTCGGTTTGTTATAACTATCCTTATGTCCATAGACTTCAACGACATGCATTGAATTCACTGCCTGTACCGCAGTGTTGTGTCCTGGTACAACTTGTTTCACAGGTGCACTACTGCTCTTGGTTAACTCAGGCAAATGATTGTTGTCTTTGCAGCACTCAGGAGCTATGATGTCACGAGTCCACTCTTCCTGGAACCTGTAAGCATGAAGGAAAAAGTTATTTCTGTTTCATTTGCTCTGGTAAGGGTACAGAACTTTCTAATGCATTTTATTTGCACATCAGGCACTTTGCAAACAGCTTGTGCTGTAACATACGGACTCACTTCTCCTAGCATTAAACCCCTTGGCAGCAGTGGGGCAAATAACGGTGTCTCTGTCAAAACTGATGGAAAGACTTGTGAGGTTGGTTTTATTCGGGGTTGGGGCAGATGTTACTTGCTCGCTTTCCATCAAATGAGTCCCCAGCTTCAATCTAATGCTACGCTATCTGAAGAATATTACTAAGAATATTTGAATGCTGAGACTGATGCAGAAGGAAAGTCCTTGCTTGGTTAGCGGAGCGCTGTTGGGAGCACAAGAGCCAGTTGTGCTCAGTGGGATTGGAGGTGTTATTTGCAGAGCTGCCAGTGATGGTGATGCAGCCCAGTCGCGTCGTGGCTTGTGCTAGCCTTTGACTGCCCAACCTGGCTACCAGGAGCCAGGCGCCCAGGAGGGACCCAGGCTGGGACTCTGTATTTGCCAGCTGTGTGTGAATGCAGCACTGATCCATCCTGCACCCCACCTCTCCACACCAGCAAAGGAGCGTTTGCTCAGCTATGGGGTAACTCAGCACAGGAGCACAGGCTACTGACCCAGACAGCAAATAACCCGGCACTGGATGGTGTCAGCAGAGCAGCAGCAGTGGCAGACAGAGATGGTGGAGCTGCTGAACAGATGCTCAGTAAACTACACACAACTCGGTCAGGAAAATGGGTAGGTGGGATCAGCTTGTTCTTGAACTCTGCTGCAAGAGGCGGGATGGATGCAACAGGATTTAAACACACAGATCTGTGAACCAGAAGCAGGTAAAACACAGCCCTTTTGGGTTTGTGGCAAATTACTGTAGTCTGAGTGTGTGGGCTTCTGTAAAACATCAGTTACTCCATGGCAGCTGCTTACACACAGGGCAGTTGCTGAGGTTGCGTGCTCCACATTCACTGCAGGGGAGCTAGCTCACGTTGCTCCTCTAGCTTCCTCTGAAGCTGTGGGTGCTGGCCCCTGATAGCAGCAGCCTGCACACCCACATCCAGGACAACATGGTCTTACCCTTTTGTACATGAAAAGCTGGTCAGGAAACAGAAGCTGCATTCTGCAGTTATCAGTTGCAGAAAGCCAGCAGAAATGCTCATACACAAAACATGCATACATATAGGAACCACAGGAGAATAACAGAAAATAAAACCAGATGACTGAGTTCTTGCTGTTCTGGTACAGAGATACTGCAGATACATCTTTCCTGTAAAGGAGAGTAAATATTGCTCTTCACTGGAAAGCTATATTACAAAACTATTTGGGGCATGACTTACAGTCAGGTAGGGTAAGGGCATCTTAAAGTACTTCGGCCTTTGATGTGAGAAGGCACTGTATCAGTGTAGTCAGAATATACTCATCAAGGAGGAGTCCAGATAAGCAGAATTTATGCACCTCTAATTTGGACAACAAACTCATCTACTTCTCAAAAAAACAGCATGGTAATTTTACCCACTTTTTACGGACCTGTACTGTTTTAACTGCCTTTTAATTTTGGTGCATCAACAAGTCCTCAAGTATCTTTGTGCTGGACACCAAAACACCTATTTGAGTACCCCTGTGGCTTGCCGTCAGGGAACAGAAGCTACATGGAGTAATGCTGCAGATCTCACTGATGAAATAAAAATCTTCTGAGATACTTGCTATTGTGCTCTTTTGTGCTTTTTTTTTTTTTTTTTTTTTTTTAATAGCATGAGGAATTCAATTCCATCTTCTTGAGGTGGTAGTCAGTGTTACAGAATGAATCAAAAGAGCATGTACAGGGAAAAGAACTGGGCTAAAGTTTTGCATGGGGTAGCCACAGCCTTTGCAAATAGCCCTGCCAGGCGTATAGTTCAAATCTAGCTATTCTGGTTATTTTGCAATAAATATAGTTCACCTGGGCAGAATTCATTCCATTCTGACATTTTCTCCTATAAAGCTCTGCATTGTGAAGCTCTGCTATTACCCACAGTCCAACACCAACTCAGAAAGCCAAACTGGCTAAAACTGTACTTGGACAACTGGCTAAGCAACTTCTTCCTCCCATTTGGGGAACTATTAAACTTCCATTGACTGAAGTAAGTCTAGGATGAGCAGACAGTAGGCACCCTCCATTCACTGCAGTACATCAAACCCTGTGGACATCAGAGGGACAGGGAAGTCAGTAGAGCTCCACCTAAGCAGAGGCTGAGAAGAGTTACTAAGAGGGCTGCAGTGCTGACAAAGGACAGATAAATGTGCACGCAGCGGGCTCTCCTCTGCATGCATGGCTATCTGTCAGATGTGGCCTTCAGACTGCACTCTCATCCTTGTGAGCTCTGTACTTCATCCCAAATAAGTGTGACTTTTTTTCAAGTGCGTCAACTTTCCTTAACTCCAGTTTCCAGATGTGATACTTCAAAACATCACAGTAAGAAGATTAGAAGACCCCCCTGTACTCTTACCTGGAAATGCAAACCCACTCAATGATGCTAGGTGCTGAACAGTCTAGCTAGATTCACAATACATTTGAGAAGGGCAGTCTTTCATTTTACAGTCCGAGCTCCCATCTGGGAAGAAGAACAGCCACTACAGCATTTGTCAATGGGTTTTAAAGGATTCACAAGAATTTTGTTTTGTGTGACTTGAGAGCTCTTCCCAGCTAGAGGGGAAACTGCTGTTAACAGGACAGTTAAGAAGCACGAAAACTCAGAGCAGTGGGGCTGCCACATTGCTGCCTGGTGCTGGCACTGGCTCTGAAAAGATATTTTTATACTGGAGGACAGGAGGGGATTTTTTTTGTTGCTGTATGTCTGGTGACTGTGCAAGACCCTGGGGTAATCATGGAAGTGTTATGAAGACAATAATAGCAGCTGTGCACACACTGTTTTCCAACAAGATTTGCAGAAGTCTGTCCCTCCACATTGGTATTTTTTCAAGTGTTGTCCCCTTTCACTGCGGTAAATCTACACCACACTACCCTTCTTCCTTCAGGTCCTTCAGCTTTTTAATCTCTCCTACTTGGGTGTTCAGAAGGGAAAATCAGCTGGGAAAGTGCCCTCAAGAGGGCAGAGGTCTAGGTAGGAATGCGGACAAGAGTCCCATCTCATCCTGCCCATATTTCTAGAAGGTCCTTTGGCTTACAGCCATGCTCCTCAGCAAGCCTGGGCAGACAGGAACATTTTTTAGAGCAACCTGAATTTCTGATCTGCGCCTTCCTTGCAGCCTCTTACACAAGGTAGTGGAAAACTTCAACCATTATAGCCACTAAATCAAAGAGAAAAAGAAAACACATTTCATTTTACTGTGGAGGCCAAAGCCATGAGCTAATTTCGCCAACCTTGCATATCACTTCTTGGACTGACTGAAAATGCCGAGTTGCCTTTCTTAAGAGCATGCTGGCTTTGTTTTTTTTGCAAAACCTTTTCATGTGGGCATCTTGTTGTTGGATCGTCCTTATTTGCTTTTTGCCAGATACACTGGTACAAAAATTTCAGGTACTAAAAATATCTTCTGTGAGAGCATATACTAGCCTGTTTCTCGGCAGATGAGATTTTTTCTTCCTGATAATATGCTCCCAGCTGTAGTGGGTATATGAAAGGAGAACTTTAAACCTACTGAGACATGGGCTTTTCCATTTGACTCACTCCTGCAGTCAGATCAGCTACTTCATAGAGAATGTTTTATAACTTGGCCTAGAGCTGTGTAAAATAATTCACCTCAAAACCGTCCAAATGTGGAATGCACAACTTCTTCCAAATGCCAGGAAAAAAACCCACCAAATTTCTTTTCTGCTTTTTAGATATATTTTTGACCTGGACTAGTTTCTTTCTGATTGTCATCTTAGCTGACAGAGGAGGAAAGGGAGTTAGTGTACAGCTAAATTCAGCTCTCCCTGAGTGTGGAAAACACTGGAGCATCAGTTGTCCCTTGCAAAACAACAGCACATCCCTGAGTCAAGGGAGCACCTATTCCAAGACAGGTTACAGGACTGTTATGCTGAAAAAGCAAAGAAAATAGAGGCTTCCCTAGGTGTGGCTATTTCTTACCACAAACAGGAAGCTGATGCAAACTGAAAAGAGCTCTCTCAGCTTTTTCTTATTACTAGCTATCTGTATTTCTCCTGGGACACTATCTTTCTGTGCACGCTGATGTATAAATATACTGTGGCTCGAAAAGTGAAGTGCTCAGTTCGTTAATGTCTTCACATGCCAAAAAGGGTTTGCTGTATGTTCTCACAATGGTTACGCTAGATTGTGCATATTTTTATTATTTCTCCTAGAGGCATGGCTAGGACTACTTAATGGAGAAGAGGAGGCTGCTATTTCAGTTTGGGAGTCACAAGCAAGCTGCTGGAGTTTCTCCGCCTTACTCCAGGCATGGGATCCCAAAGCCAAACTTGCCTCAGGTGACCTGTACCAACCATTCCCTTGGGGAACAGCTACAGCTGGCCCATGGCAGTGGGTGAGCACCCCCCCGTGCCCTCATTAGGCTGTGCCCACTCTTCTCCACGCCAGTTGCTTTAAGGTCATCTCTTACTGACATTCACCTCCATCTCTCAAATATTACCAGTAGCTGTCACAGAGGAAGGACAGCTGTCATTAAGCTTCTCTTTACTGATATTTTACCCTGTGCCTGTCAGAGCAGAAGATAACCTGCCTGACTAGGCAGCTGACTAAGTCCAAGCTCTCCCACATGGCTGTTTGCTGGGGATGGAAGAGGACTCTTCATCTTGGGTGGTGTAAGTATTCCAAGCAAGTATTCCAGAGAAGGATTACTGCAGAGTCCTATTACTCTTCATCAGAAAACAACTGACTCAAAAATAACATATCCTGCTCAGGAACATGCCGATTTCAAAAGACATCTTAAACCCAGCATGGTGTTTCAAATGCAAGTTGCTCTGCAAAACCAAATGTCCCTGGTGCTCAGGGCTCTTCCCTGGGAGACCCACAGTGCCTGTCTAACCCCAAGCAGATGTGGTGTTCTCTGTTGCTTTAGGGAAGTTCTCTCACTTTGTATGAATGACACCAACAGTCCGGGTTTCATTCTCATGCAGAATTGGGAGGACTTTTAAATCTTCAAATGTTAAAGAGAGCAGAATATATTTTACTGAATTTAGGTTTTTCTCCCGACACATACTGTGGTCAGGCTGTGAGAGCTGTTCCCAGTATATCTCCGTGTTGACAAGCCCTGTCTCTGCCTAGCAATCCTCCCAGGGGGGCTGATTTGGAGGTTCATGCACATTGTTCTCCTCTAACTACATGGCCCAGAACTACAGCTAATCTCCCTCACATAGGTGGCAGACCCTTTGCTTCAGCTAATCTGTCTCAAACCTCTGCATCATGCAGCAACCTGCTATCTCTGCTCTATGCTCTAAACTTCTGGGAAGCAATACTGGGGAAAACATGTCCCTCACAGTGGCCCCATGCCTTGTAACTTGTCTTTCCCTGCTCAACATTAGCTAGCTCTTCATATATTATAAAAGAACAAATACGCTGTAAATGCTTGCAGCTGCTGCATATAAGACTTCCTGCTGAAAATTGATTTTTTTTATCCTCATTAGGATTCCGTATTACATCCAAATGAAAGAGGTGGCATCAACAGTGAGTGCATTCTGTAGTTAACAATCCCAGGTATTTGTAGACATGTTTCTCAGCATTTCAAGGCAATTTGTTCAAGCAGCTAAGAAGCCAGAATGAGACTCATTATAATTGGAGCAACTGTCACTAAAATTCAATCTTTCCCTGCAAAACTTTATATTCATCACATTTGTTCCATGCTTCAAACATGAGAGGAAAAAGATCTCATTTTGTGGCAGACAAGTCCAAAACAGCACACTTGAGCCTCTACTGTCCAACAGCTGGGCTTCTACATTATTTATAACTTCTATACATCGGCATTCTGTATCCACATTATGTCACCTTGTTACAGCCAAAATTATCTCATCGGCACACTAAGGCACTGCTTTAACAGATGATAGTTTTTTAATCCTAAATTACTCTGTAAACCATAAAATATACCTTATCTGTCTGAAAGAATTGGCTTTTTGTTTTATTTTATATTGGCTTACCTGAAAAAAATGGCTTTTTATTTTATTTGTTCTTACAGTATTTTTGATCCTTAAAGTGGCGAACCAAAATGTTAATTTCTAGTTAATCTCTAAATCTATTTCAATTAAGTCTGAAAAGCAGCATGACCTACATCCTTTTCAAGTGAAAAATAGGCTAAGATATATTCAAGAGGGTCTTCTTCAAGGGTGGAGGAGTTCTCACTCTTCCAGATACTTCATATGTTACATGAAGAAGCAGGAGAACAGTTTTCTTTAAGAAAAGGAAATGCTATCGTAAAAACTACTTAAATTGCCAAGCCTCCACCCACTCCTTTCTCAGATGGGCAACACTCATCTCTCAGCCTTCCCCTTCTAAGTGGGTTGCAGAGCCAGTTCCCATGGCTGTATCACAGAGAACAACACATACCACAGCCCTGAAAAAGGCAGGGAGAAAATGATGAGCCTCCTGTGCTTCTTAGGACACTTCCTTATTAGAAAAACAAAGTAGGATTTCTGATTTGCTCAGATGTCTAGCATTGCAATGCATTAATTCCTCCAAATGTCTGAAACATTAACACAAGAACAGAACAGAATAGACTAGACTAGACTAGACTAGGCTAGGCTAGAATAGAATAGACTAGAATAGAATATTTTAGTTGTAAGGGACCTACAACCATCTAGTCCAACTGCCTGACCACTTCAGGGCTGACTAAAACTTAAATTATTAAGGGCTTTGTCCAAATGCCTCTTAAACACTGGCAGATTTGGGGCATTGACTACCTCTCCAGGAAGCCTGTTCTCTTGGTAAATAAATGCTTCCTAATATCAAGTCTGAACCTTCCTTGAGGAGCCTTGGTTAAATTATATTTTGGCTTGTTTGTGACCGTGGACACACACTTTGGTTAACATGTATGCAGCAATATATAGACTCTTTCCTTTGGGCTTGCTTGCCCTCAGTTCTGCTGCTTTTTTTCCAACCATGATGCCTGCCTGCCTTTATTTCCTTGGACAATCAATGCTATAACAGCTTCACCACTGTAGCAACACCCACATGGTTAGAGATTTCCCGCAAGTATAGGCTGCCAACATGTTCACTTCATGTTAAATGGAGAAAGGTTCTGCAGACATAACCCAGGTAGTGAACATGTCCTTTCACACTGGTGTTCCCAGCATAAGCCAGCTTCATGTTTGTACCTCCCCAGGGATTTGCCTACACTGCCCTGCTGTTCCCTGTAAACTGGATGTGCACAGGATGATGAAACAGCCTAATTCGCTACACATATAAAATAAGTCTTACAAGTGAAGCACAAAGCTGACAGATCATTTGTTGTTTTCAAGAGCTGGGATGAAATACGTTTAATGGAATTAAACATTAGAAATTAACATCTTTTACTAACTTTGATTAAATAGATCTTTTCTGAGTGAAGAAAGGTACAAATTAATGGTCACACCTGTTCCTAGAGCAATTCCAAGACAGTTTTATTCAGAGTCTGCAATAGCTTCAATGCCATTTCAATCTCTGATTAGAAGCAGTGCCCGTTCTCCACGTGTGAAACAGCCAGATTTTTGACTCTGGGGTGCACAGACTGCTCTCCTAGCTGATTTTTGCTCTAGCTAGTGATTAGCCAGGATCACATTATCTCTGCGTGGTGGAAATACAGTAGACCTTGATTAATAGTGGACCTCATGCATCAGGAGGTGGGCATGTACACCAGTATTTAACATGGCATGTGTATTGTTCTACATAGGAAAAAAAAAAAAATGAGCTCAGAGGCTTTCCTCCTCCTGCCCTCTGCAATTCCCCACTGAAGTTTATAAATTCTCCAGTTTTCTAAAGAAATAATAAACTTGTTGTTTTCTGACCTCAGAGAAGCTGCTTATCCAGAGGAATTGTATATACCCTGCTACTTCGAGTTAAGAAAAGGTGTCGAGTTTGGTAAACATAATATAGCAGTTTCCGCTCCGTGGAATGGTGCAGGTAAGAACCCAGAAGAAGCCCAAGACTCCAGCAGAGCACTAACCACTCTTTGCAGACCTTTGTAAGTTTATCCATGATATTTTAAAGGCAGATTATACTTACACAAAACGTTAGCATCGTAGCAGATTGAAATTGCCCAAAAAATAAAAATTGCATCCTGAGTCTTCTAAAAACAGTTTAGGTTATAATCAGAATTTAATTAGGTTTATACATCTTTCTGAAATCACCCAAAGCTAGGAATTGATTAAGCAGCCATCAGACTTTTGTTCAAGTGCTCCATTTGAATATAATTTCCAGCTGCACTGTGACATGGAAGTAGATTTATAATCTGCATAAAATTGTTTTCTGCAGGTAACCACTGCAAATCACCGATACTGCTGTACATAAAAGCTGTGCAAGTGAGTAGTGAATTAAAAGCAAACTGGGGCTGTGATATATATTATCATATATGATGACGAAGCAGAACCCAAAAGATATAAAAGACACAATGACGTCTGTTTACAGGAATGGTAACAGCAAAACAGCATTAGAATGCAACATGTATTCATTTTGCTGTTTTTCTTTTGATGGCAACAACACAGCCAGCCGTAACATATCTGGACACTTTCAGATGTGATTTTGAACTGACAAAAAATACCTGTGCCCACCACCCACAGCATATGATGCAATTTATTTCAGCATGGACATTTCTTTGGACTAACTGAGGGTCAGAGTTCCCACGCTGTGGGCATTCACACTGCCTTGTGGATAAGGATCTCATTGTGTTTGCTCTGCACACCCTGATAACAAAACAATTTTTCTCAAGGGAGCTTTCACAGTCACCAAGGGATAAACGGTAATACTTGATGCTCATCTTGAGCCGAACCACAGCCCCAGGTGTCCCTGGCTGCCTCCTCTCCTAAGGCTCTTAGGCAAGCTGGCACCTTGATACCACTAACCAGTACAGAGCAGTGCCTTTCCTGCTGCAGTTTAGCATCCATTTAAGAAAGCCAGTTTAAAACCTCTCTCCAGATAATCTGGTGCAACCTCCCCTGCAGACCAGGTTTAACCAAGCACTACCAGGGATAGATGAAAGAAGCTGTAAGGAGGTTGGTCACACTCAGCTTCTCTTCTGTCTCATCTTCTGGCAATGTTAATTCCCGACAAGACGGGCAAGTTCAAGGGCAAGCCCCAACAATCCACTGGCATTACATCCTCTTAAGGGGCATCGCTTTAAAATGCATTTTTGAGGAGTCCTTTTTCTAAAATTTGTTCAACAAAGTTATTCCAACCCACTCTTATTTTAATAGCCTTACCTGTAGAAGCCTTGGTTATCATATGCCATTTTAGTCACATTGTCAAATACGGATTTATTCCTGAGTTTCTTATTGTTATTGTTATTGTTTCTTCCCTTAAAACCAAAGTAAGTAGCTTGCATGTGCTCTAGTTCTTCAGTTCTGAGCTGGTACCACAGCTGCATATCTCTGTGAATAAAACAAGGGGTAAAATACATTACTGTGATACACAGCTGCATATCTGAGTTTTGATCTGATCACAGCCCGGACTCACTAGAGTTTAAATCTAAATCCAGGTTTACTGAAGACAGCACTTAAACACATGCTGAACTTCAAGCATAAGCCAAATTTCCAGAGGCTTAAATACCTGCTTAAATACCTTAAGGTAGGGGGTTCTTAAATAGCATAAATATTATTCTGTAAAATAGTGTTAAGTATTATTCAACACTTCTCAAAAAACAAGCAAACAAACAACAACAAAAAAAGAGCAATTTTCTTATGAGCACCTGTGGATAGTTCAAAGGGACAACACCCCAATAATTATGTCAATTTGATTCTGTGGATTTTGAGACTACAGGTAATAGGGAAAGTCACTTAAGGTATGATGTTGTGTCACTCATGAATCTTCATCAGTGACACACATCAGGCCAGATCTTGTTGTATGTGAAAAGACTACAGACCATCCCCATTTTATGGAATAATTTATTTCAGAAAAAGAAGATTTTTATGTGAATTTCTGCAGCATTTCCATTCCTAAGGGTTCAAAAATCACCAGGCAGGTTGAAAATATGAATTAACTTAAAAATGGAGGAGCTGGGTAATGTTGTCTTTGTTAAGAGCAGGGTTTATTCAGTTGCCTTCGGGATTTCCTTTTCGAAACGCTCAAGGCGCTTTTCATGCTGCTCTCTACAACTCTGGGGCAAAAAAAAAAAATCACGATTTCTTTTCCTGTTTTTAAAATAAGTCTAAGATTCACATAATTACAGACATTCACACTAGCTGATGGGACAGGATTAAACTGGGAGGGCTGGTGATGCTGATTTTGATGTCATTTCTGTCCTCTCAAGATGCAGTCCTGCTCCTACCAAAGAAAATGGCAGCTCTGCTCATGCAATGGGACAAGGTCTGTGAGAAGGCTATATTATGTGTGGATTTTCAGCAGCCTTTGTCCTTTTTCTCTCCAAATGCAAGGATAACACACAAGATGGCAGTTCAAAGATCATCACACAGATACCTTGCAAAACAGGTTTGTAGGCAGGCTTGGTTTCTTCTATTAGACCAATTAAAAGAGCCAAAGAAATGTAGGCAGGCAGACTTCAAATCTAAAGGCAAGATGAGGACATCATTCCTACTCCACAGGCACAGACTACCTTTTCTTTCAGAGATGGTCTAAGAGACACTTATTTCACTAATCCCCTACCAAGTATTCTCATTTTGTATTAAGTTACCAAGCCTGCAGCTTCTCCTCAGATTAATGCTTTGTGCGTCCAAAAGTCAATCCACATTTTCCAACTACATCAACAAAAGAAAAGCTATACCGCATCTGGCACTCTGCAGCACAGACTGCAGGTTGAGCAAGTTTCATACAGGGATGAGTTACTCTTTCTCACATGACGTGGACAGTTTCTACATCATCTCAGTTGCTTTCTGGCAGTGGGGCCAAGCCACAGTGTCTACAGTGCCCCCAGGTTTCTCCCCCCAGGAGCACGGCTCAGTTGTGGATGGTCTGGGTTGGAGTAGCTTCTTGGCAATGAAGGGAGGACAGAAAGCAGCATGGAACTGAGAAGCTTCCAGCAAAGGGAATAATTTTTGTCCTGATGATACAACCAGGTCAAAACATCCAGTGTGAAGGGCTTTTCTTTCATAAGAGAAAAATATCAAGTCATCAAAGTCATGTGAATGGCTAATTCTGACAAAACTTCATTTAAAATAAATGAAACCCAAGGATTTTTATATGAAAAGTCTTATAAAAAGAAAAGTTCCAAAAATGCCAATCAACCCTTTCGTTTCAAAATTTATTTCATGCTATCAGTGAAAACATAGTATTACGAACAACACCAAAGACATTTTTTTTTGCCTCACAAAATCCTTTAAAGGGAAATAGAAAATCTGTATTCTGGTTACAACCAGATTTTGAAATCACAGAATTTCCCCCTTAAGCTGGTTCCCACACAGCTCTAGATAAAACACAGCTTGGAGCAGAGACACCTTAATTCGTGTCCTCCCCAGTCTCCCTCTACTTCACTGCTACCCTGCCTCACTCCAAACACCTTTCCGAAGCAAGAAGAGGCTTCAGATCAACCTGAAGTGCAGCTTACTGTCTTCATGGCAGGCATCAGCAGGTCAGGGTACAGCCAAACCACCGAGCTACGTGCAACGAGCAGGGAAAAAGAGCAGGAAATGAAAAAGAGGTGCTTGAGGAAAGGCTTCTGCAGCAGGTGACTTCGGGTGGACGCTCTCATGAACAAGAGTGGCTCAGCTTTAGTGTACAGCCAGATATGGCCACACAGCCACCCTTCACACTGAGTTTTTATAAGGGACTGGATTGGTAAATTTTACTTCTTCCCATGCCTGTTTGTAATCCTGCCCACTGACTTGCACTTCAAGACAGAAGACAAAATCCTGCGTCCTTCCAGCACAGCATTGTGTCAGCCTCAAGTATGCTTTGCAGACATTGAGGGCTTTGATGGTTTCAGCACAGGTAGATTAATTTTCCCAGCAGTGTTCAAGGAAAGCAAAGGGAAAAAAAGAAAGAGAGAGAGAAGAAGAGAAAACTTAAATAATCTTAAATAATTAAAGGAGGGAACGACTGGGACAGCAAAAAGGGCTTGTAAGTTCAGTTTCTGTATAATCCTGGGTAAATCCAGATCTGCCCAGGCCCGCTGAGGTCATCTGATATTAACAGACATGAGGTGCCTAAATGCTATTGAATTCCAAGTCCTACTATGCCTAAATCCTGACCTACAAGTTAAGGATTTTAAGTAATTAACATAATTGCGGTGTTGCAAACATCAAGTCCTTTGAAGCTCTGCTATTACAGCAATTGGTTCCATACGATGTTCAGTCTTAGGCTGGTTTTAAAAATATTTTCTTGACATACCTTTGAGTCCTTCTCCTTTCACTTTTCTTCACACACTTGATAAGACAACAAGTTAAAAAAGCCATGGACATCAGCAGAATGACAGCACAGCTCACGATAGAGGCAATCACTGCGACCTTAAATCCAAAAGTCTCATATTTTGATATGGCTGCAGCAAAGCAAACACAGAAGCATGTTTCTAAGGTCAAACCATGAATTTATCTTTCATATTTTCATTGCTGAAACCTACCTGCTTCACACTTCTGCTAATAATAGCTCATGGAGGACTTTCACGTTAGTATGTGTCAAGATACCAGAGTATCTTGGCTTCAGCTTAGAGCTACACAAGACTCAAATTGGACTATTTAAAAATCTCCTGTTTATAACCTACTAATGAATTGTTCACAAGTCTTTCACCACTGCAATTAATTAAACACAATGCTTTTAGTGCTGCAGTAGCTAGAAAGCACAACTTTGTCAGTATATCAAATGCAGATGAGCTAGCAGACTCCTATAAGCAATTATTAACAAGGACTGGAGCTGCAAAAACAAATACTGACAAGGGTAAATGGGTTTAAAGAAGCTCTTTAGAGTGGAGACAGTTCCATATAATTACATTCTATTTGGCAGGGAACGAACAACAGGTCTTCCTCTGTTTGGGGAAGGATGCAGGATTAAGAAGGGACAGTATCTGCAGGGCTGGGTGTTCACAGTCATCTGATGCTGGAAGTGAATTATCCAGACAAAAAGAGGAGTGGGAATGTGGTGTGGCACAGGTAACATAGATCTCTACCATCTCATTTGGAGCACTAAGCGTTCAGAACTCATATAATTCTTCCAACATCACAATGATCAGCATCAGAAATGGTTCAGCTGAGCTCCACACAAAGCATTGTATTTCTGCAGCCTCTGGAGAGAAGGATTTCTTGCATTTTTCTGTAATGGAATCTCTCAAATGAGAGATGAGAATAGCTGAGTTTGTGAGAGGGCAGTAAGTGTCTAAAAGAGCCATCCATCTACTTATTATCTAATATTATACAAGGTCTGAGACACAGACAAAGCTCAGATGTACCATGTTTTGCTTGGGCCTACTTCCTGTCAAATTGCTAACAACCTTATAATAAATAAGAAGGAATACAGCGTGAAAGGTAGTCTAATGTTGTTGCCATTCAAACACAATTTGTCAATATGGTAACTTTCCCATGTGGCTCCCTCCAGGCCACAACCTAGGATTGTTAAAAAAAAAACCAAACCCTGTGTTTCTTTTACAGCAAAAGTATCTTCAGAAAAGAAATCCAGGAGATTAGAAGGTGTGCAAATATGCTTGCACATTAGTTGATGGTATCTATACATTTTCTAAAGAAGGGTACAGCTTCAGTTATTCTGTATGCAACACTACCAGAGTCAGCAACATGAAATCAGGCATAAATCAGACTGAGTCTTTTCTATGTCATGATAATAAATGATGTCAGAACACATACAGAGCACAATTACAGTCAGTGGGGGCAATTTTGAAGGAAATTGAATTTGTCTTTTTCCTTGCACAGATGTCTAGAATTAATCCTAGCATTCTACAAGATAGGTGGGGCTAAATAAACATAATGGAGCCCAAGAGGACTGAGAATGGTTTGGAAAGGACCTTACGCTTGCAGGAAGGCACTCCAGCTGTCCACTGGGTACTGTTCCCTTTCCAAATGCAGGTGATGACACCCGGTCCCTCCAGCTGGTGCTCGGCAGAGCACTGGAACGTTACCACTGTCCCCACAGCTGTGCCGTTGCCATGAATGATCTGTAGTGTGCCGAGCTGTGGAGGGAAGACACGGCTGCACTGCCCTGCAGAACGAAACCAAAGCAAGACAATGCAGTGCCAGCACCAAAAGCAAAGGTCCACTTAAATTTTATTGTGATCAGATTGTAAATCCGAGTCCGAGTTAATGGTCAAAACAAACAACAGAACCTTGGGGTGGGCAATTCTGACTGCCCTGCCAAGTACCAGCCCAAGGCCAAACCCCCTTTGGTGCCACTTAACAGCTCACTGCCCTGAGCCCCAGAGCAAAGGAGGGTTTTACACGTGTTGCAACATTATCTGCTTAGACTGGTACATATTAAACATAAAAAAAAAAAAAAAAAAAAAGGGTCATTCTGTGTGTGGCATGGTCTCCTACAGATTCCTGTCTTGTTGCACTCTCTGTGTTTAAGTACTCAGACTTACACTTTTTCCATGTTGGGATTATTCATAACACATCATCCCCATGCAAACTTTCCAAGATCTAATGGACTGATCACATATTTCAGCATCTTCTCATGATCCTACAAAAACTTTCTATCTTTCAAGAGCACCACACCTCTGTTAGTCCTGGCTGAAATGAGCCAGGGGATTCAAAAGCCACAGGGAGGGGACAAAAACATACATGCACAGCACAACTACATTCAACTTATCTCCATTTTTAAGCGATAAACTCTGCTTTATAGTATATCATTCATTTTTATTACATTTTTGTTCATTCAGCTTTTCTCTTTCTTTGTTGTTCATACATCTGTTCTTTGAGTTATGGAGCTGTTCTCCTCTAGGCCATCTAATGTCAGTCACTAACTTTATACACTGAGTTTTATTATCACAACATTCATTGTTTCGCACTCATTTTAAGCACAAATTTTAATGATCAGTCATTAAGACAACATATAATACCCATATATACTTCAGAGATAACAAGAAATAATTTTTCTGGTTTCGTACATGTGCACTGACAGAATCTGGAAACTGTTTAAATATATATATATATATATTTTTTTAACATTTACTAAATACCAGAACTGCCTCTGCATCAGAGCCCAAGTTCCCTGTCTTTCACAGGATTTCCAAATTATTTCTGCAGACTCAGAGGCAACTGCTTTGCAGTTGCAAGTCCAGAGTTGCAAGCACTATGATGTCACCAAAAAAATTAAAAAGAAAATATGCTTCCCACACTTAAAAAGAAATGTAGAGGTTTATTAGTGTCCTTGAGAACATCTTGACAGAATCACATGTTGATAGCAAATCTATTTTATTTTTAATACTAAAACTCCCCCCCGGTCATTAATTAATGTTAAGCTCCTGCGATCAAACCGCAGCAGACAGGCTTACCACCTATCTTCAATTTATGCTCTTAAAACCCCCAGTCCCCTGGAAAACAAACACAAAGAAATCTCAGCAAAAGACCAAACAAAAAACAAAGTGACAATTAGTGGTCTAATCTACTAAGTAAATATGTACTGAGGACTAGCTTTTAAAAACATGCCTGTTTTAATTCCATGCAGATTATTTCTGTTTGTTTTCCTGCTTCTTTCAGCCTCTTACTATGGCAGCAATTTGCCTCAATGAGAGCAAATATTTTCTAGAGGGTAGTTTCATCTCTTGTCCTTCTCTCCAACATCCCATTACTGGAACACATGGGATGTGTGCACTGGACCACGATCTTCCTCATTCCAGATGAGCATTATGAGTTTGGGCTTTTCTTTTTACCTTAATCGCTCAGAGACTTACCATGAAAAACCATTGTCCTAAGCTGCAAAATATCTACCTTTTTACATTTTACACTTTCAAGGCTATTTTTAGATACTGGATCAAATACTACAGTTCACGTCAGTGACACTTCTAGCTGCACAAGAAGCAGAAAAGTAATTCAGAGCCAAATTTGATTCAAAGTACATCTGCTAGCCACCATAGCAGCCCTCACTAGATGCTTTCAGGAGACTTGCCAGTTTCTCTGGACTCATTATTCAGCCCCTGTTCTCCAAAGAATAGATCATTTGGCACTGGAACCTTTCTTTAAGGACATATTTCATTTAATCCAGCTTTGACCATCCTGAGTAATATGTGCAGCTGTAGCTGGTTCAAGTGCTCTTGACCCTTTCCTGCACTGTCCTTGCCCATGATGGTATATGCTGAGTGATTAAAACCTCTGAATATCAGTGACCTTGTCAGCATTATTCCTTAGCCATGGATTTTCAAATATTTTTCTTCATTTGAGCACTACAAAGATTTCTAACAGCCAATATCCCTTGAAACCATGGATATTTCCTTGCTTTGACAAGGGCTGTAACAGCATTATGTCATCCCCTGAGGGTGTCATTCCCATGTGAATGTAATTGGGTCAAGAACCCCAGAGGCTCATCTTAATGACAGCTAACTAGAGCTAAACTTTTGAAAGCTTCTATACATGGCTTTACACAGATGCTGAGCTGAAAGTTCATCAACTGCATTTCGTGTACCCTCATTTGGCAAGAGTAGAAATACCATTTCTTCTTCTTCTAAGATTCTAAGAGCTTTTCAACATGATTACTTCCCACCAAAGTCAAAACATTAAATGTGGCACTACTTTTTGCTTTTTAAAAATGCTTTTATTGAAAAGTATAGATGGATTTTTGCCAGTATGACTGTGAATTTCATCCAAGTTTGGATTTAATATCTCTGGATAAAATTTGCCCTAATTTTCATCAGCAATAGTCTTCTAATAACTCATTTGTAAAATCTCTCCTGTAAACTCTAGCATCCTTTGCTATTAATGATCTATAATGTTTTTGTGGTTACTTGTTGCATTCACTTTTCTGCTAGATTAATTTTACCCTTCCATCTCCAGAAAATTATTATTTAGGTAAGCTTCCATACTCATATTTATAAAAGCAGATGTTCCACATAGACTTACTATTTGAATACTCTTCAAGCATGTTTATCTGACTACATCTACTACAATCAAAAATGTTATTATTTTTTTGAAATATATAATATTTATATTTTTGTTTTCAGCTAAGGTTGGTGTTTGAGGCTGCATTGTCTCCTGAACTAAAACACAAATACTGCCTAAACATTTGTGATGACCGTATTCACATCTTGGTTTATATTTCTTTTCTAAATACCTAGAAAACACCATGTTCAAGGCCTTGGTTTGCAGTAACTCTTAGCATCCAGAAATTAAAATTGAATAAAAACCCTAATTATGGCCCACGTGATTTTTGCAATAGCTGCATCACAGACCCCACAGATTCATGCATGACAGCCAGCACCTAAAGCCAGGAGGAACACTTGAGGAATTAACAGCCTATTAGCCATTTCTATGGAGTTTATTATAAACATGAAAATTCATGATGTGTTGTTTAGTTTTGACTAGCTTCATGACACTATTCTTAGACTTGATACATGTCTCCAGCGCCTAGTTCCCATTACTCCTCACTGTTGTTCTCCACTCCCAGGCTCATGCACTGCTTACACTTCCAGATCCTGGCTACTACTTCCATGCTCAAGCAGAAAACTCACTTGCTGATACAGACCTATAAAGCAAAGGCTGGAAATATTTATTGGTTGTAATTTATTCTGAAGTCCAACAGAAGTTGTGAAGACTCTAGCTTGTTCATTTTACTCATTGAAAAGGATTAACAAACTGCCTTGCCCGCTCTGTGTACCATGCCAGCGTACATCAGCTCTGGTGCACCGGGATGACCATCAGTCATCAGCTGGCCGATTCCCTTCAGGGCTCAAAGAGCCAAAGACCTTCAAGTTCCTGCAGCTGCTTCTGCAGCTTCCTGTAAAGCAAGAGCAGCTTTATACAAATGCATTTCTTAGTTTGGCTTCACACTAAGAGGATATCCATTGTTTCAAAAGTATCTGAATCTGCTGCTACTGTCTGACAAGACAGGAGAAGGGCACTGGCTATAGCAAATAAACAGATTATTTCATATGACAAATAACTGTCCTCAAAGTAAAGACACTGAAGTGTAGCATATACCATAAATTCTTAATTTACCCAAACCTCTGAGGTCAGAAATAGCCATATACATAATTTCCAGACATTGAAAAAACAGAGTAATGCAAGAATTAAGACAAAACAGTCCAAAATATCTCTTCTCATACACAGCCAAGATTATCTGTATTGCAAAATTGATTTGTCAGAAAGAGCTATCATATGGTTTCATTGTCAGCAACCTGCGGATTTATGTTGTGCTGATAAGAAAACAGAAATGAGAGAGCAACTTCTCTCATGAGAGTGCCCAAATGCTTGCCCATTAAACATTTCCTGTGCTCCTTACATAGTGAAACATAGAGACTAAAAATCAAATATATCATGCAAGTATATACTAAAATGATCTAAAACACAGCAATAATTATCTGAAAGAATGTTATCAAGATTGCCTCTCGCTCCTTATGCAGAAAGGGAGCAATCCATGACTCCACCTCATTATTCCCATACACATGTAACTCAAGCCTTTGCATTGCTTCTTGTTGACTATTTAATTCAACTAAAACATGCTGGAATAACCAGATGCCAGAAAGAAACAGAACATTAGGTTCTATAAACCCTGCAGAAAACAAACATGCTGATATTATTTGTGCAAGTCTATTTTTCTACAGAAGCACGCCTTAGAAATTAGTGTCCCTGAAGTCACAGGCATAATGTTGAACATCCACAGCAGGCTCACAGAAGAGCTCTTTTGGAAGAGCTTGCAATATCAAAAAACAAAAGAAAAGCAGCTAGAAGTGAAATATGAAATAAAGCAGATGTAGTAAAGCATCTTGTGTGAATGAAACTGCCTGGGCCTGGCATCAGTCCCCTTGCAACCATGCCTTTACCCCCTCACAGAGTTGGCCATGAATCCTGACAGGTCTGGGCTCTTAGTTGCACGAAGTGCTGCAACAACAAATGGGTACCAGGAGGAGCATATCCTCCCACTGGGAAATTCAGACACGGCATGGCTTTTTAGGAAAGTAGTGTTAATCATGTTAAACCAACCCAGCCGTAAAAGAGGAGGGAGGTGTAGGCTCTTGAATATGCAGAGCTTGAAGAAGGTCTCCAGCTGTG